CAAGAAATATACATGTATATCCTGTTTTTGGCCATCCGAAAGAATTTTAAAAATTCTATAAAAATTTTTTATGTTTGAAATGCAACCGTGGACGCCAGCTGGCAGCGAAACTTGCAAATTCCTGCAAATTTGCGTTCGTGCAGAAATTTGCAAGTTTCTCAACATGAGAGAGAATTTGAGAGAATTTTTTCTTACTCTCTGATATTTTGAGTGTTGGATAATTCTTGCTGGATTTTCGACGAACAAACCTATTGTTTACAATAAAAACAAAAGTTACACGACCAAGCGGACCAAGCAAGCATTTATTTTATTTAATTTTAGAAATACAATATGGAAATGAGTATTTTTAAACAAAATATTAAAAGAGATAATAAAAAATAATCAGCAAAATTTACACATTTAGTAGAACGAAATTAAAGGGGCGACCCTGCGATTGTCACACTTGCAACGACCAGCAACTTTACTGCATTCGATCATATGTTTTCTGCCAGATTTTCCGATTTGTTTTGCACATTGCACCAAACTACACTGCGACGGTCGGTACGTATTCCGATTTCAATGAATTTAAATGGAGGAAACACTACAACCACAAGTGGCAATAGCGATACCAACGAGGTGTGCCTTTGGAGAACCAGTGAGCTGCTAAAAGGCTGTCATACAGTGGGGAGTGGTTATGCTTGCATCGTGCTTAACCGGCCAATACAAGTGTCACCGCCGATAGTTAAAAAAATATGGCAAAATGGTAAATATGATCAATTAAAAACTATACATACATATCTATATTTATAGTTACGTACATAAGTTGCTTTATAAATATACATTACAACTTTTGCACAGCACAAATTCGTTGCCTAATAGATGGTGGCGCTAATCACTGGAATGAATTCATGCATATGCATTGTGAGGGAGAGAAACTAAAGCTACCGGAATATATAACTGGAGATTTCGACTCCATTACAGAAGAAACAAGGAAACTTTTTAGTGCACCAGATATTAAATACCAACACACACCTAACCAGAACGAGACAGATTTTACAAAAGCTTTACGATTTTTGCAACCACAGATGAAATCAGAAGACATACAGGAAGTTATTGTATTTCAAGAGAATACAGGCCGTCTAGATCAGATAATGGCGAATATAAATACTTTATTCAAATTACAAAGCGATCTACTTAACATATATCTCTTGAGTAGTGCTTGTTTGAGCTGGCTACTTCTGCCGGGTAAACACAAAATTATAATACCAAAAGAACTAGTCCACTGTCAGCGTTGGTGCGCATTGATACCGGTTGGTAGTAGAGCGAATTCAGTGACTACTACAGGATTGAAATGGAATTTATGTATGTATCGATTATTTGACGCAAAAGCTATTCTATAAATACAACTTTTTATCAATCCTAAACAGCGAAATCGCCTATGGAGTTTGGTCATATGGTTAGCACATCAAATACCTATGCTGCTCAAGAGGTATGCATAGAAACAGATAGTGGTTTAATTTGGTCTATGGGATTATGGGCACAAAATGACTAACAATAGTAGTACTTCAAATGACACGTTAGGCTTAGTAGATAAATATTAATGTAGTGTAGTAGGTAGCTAGTTATGTAAGTAGTTAAACTTAAATTGCGAAAGCTATACTGCAATACGTTCCATGGTAATTTTTTTTTCAAGAAATGTCTGATAAGATCTTAGGAAAGCATGTTGCGTCTGATGAGTAATGATCTATAGTTGCGTTCAATGAAATATTTATCTATTAGATAATTATTTGCGATTGTGCAAAATGTGTTTGATGTTACACAAACCTGTAAAAGGGCATGCTTTTGCCATCTTGTCCTTGTCCAGCATTTCATAAAAGAGAAAGGGGCATCAAAATGCGACATTTTTTGGTAGAAACCAAAACAATAGGTTTGGGATATTATTTTCTTTGCACTAGTTTAAGAAAAATTGTGCCATTTGTCAGCTCGATAACGCAAAATATTGTCCAATTGTTACAAAGAGAAGGGTCCAAGACGAATAACGGTGTACATTTGTCCTTCAATTTTTAAACACAAATCCACGATCTCATGCGTTTGTGAGATTCTATAAAAATTCTTAAAAATGTTACTTAGTGGCAAGATGACTTATAGTCGAATAAAACTCGTATGCTTACAAGCGGCTTCAAACATACTTATAATATAAAATAAGAAATGTAACTAAAATTGTTAATTATTACCCCTTACATACATGCATTATTTACTATATGCAAGTAAGTTGCACTAGCTAATTTTACATAAAGAACGTCTAATTGGAAGTAATTGTGCGACTGAAGTGTATGTATATGAGGAGACAGCTTTATTTTAATAAAATTATAAATTCAACGTAAACAAAAACATTGAAATTTAATTCTAGTTCTTAAGAATACAAAATTCAGTTTGTGTCGCTGGCCAGCATACGCTTCATGCGCGCATGTGCTTGTTTCAAATGTGCCAATAATTTCATATTGTTTGCTATGGCGGCATTTGTATTATTATTTTGGCTGGTGGTGTTCCCGCCTGGAGTGGCTCGTTGTAGACCATTTGCTCGCACTCCGCATGTCTGAGTGCGATGTAACTGCAATCGTTCTTTTGTAGTGAAATATTTGCTACACACTTTGCACGGATAAAGTTCTGCCGATACGTCGATGCTGTTACTGTCACCTTCTACTACTTGGTTTGTGGAATTATTACCTTGGCAGACATGGCAATCCTGCAAGTGCTGCATCATTTTAGGTTTGCTGGATTTTGTTTTGGAGCAAAGTTTACATTTAAGATATGACTGGAATGGCATGTGCATGAAGCGATGACGTTGCAAATCAGCATGCTTCGTGGTATGTTGTACATCCATACAGTCGAGACAAAGGTAGGACTGTTGATTTTCAAGCATTTGAAAATTTGTCTGAATTGCATTTTCTATATTGTGCTCGGTAAAGACGTGCCTGCGCCAGCTTGATTGTTCATTGAACTCTGAGCCACACTCAGGACAGAGATAGTGAATGTTTTCCTCCAGCAATGCATTCTTGTTAGATTTATTGGCTATTGGAAGATTATACTTATGGCCATGACTCTGGACTGCTGTTTGTTTTGTAGAATGTGCTGATGTTTCCGATTCGCATAATTTTAAACGTTTTCGCGGCGGTGACCAAATAAAATTGTTTGTCTGTGTGGAAGGATCGTGATCATCGTCGACTGTATCTATTTCAATGCATATTATCACTTCTTCTTCATCTCTCTTTTCTTGTTTAAAGTTTTCAACTATGGCATCGCTCTTGTTTTGCGTGCCATTATGGACCATGGGTTGTGATTCCTCCTCAATGGATTCAAATACATCAGCACATAGTTCTTCAAAATCATCTTCTGTTGTAGATTCCGTAGGAGTTATTGTGTAACTCTTAGATCCCTTATCACAATCCTTGATTATTCGGACGTTACTTCGACGGATTGCAGTATCAGCACACTCACTATTCTTTTGTATTTGTTCTTGCTCAAATCTTTGTTGTTTAGCTGCTAGTCTTGCCTTTTCACTTGCATAAGTTTGCTTTTTCTGCTGCCTCCCACGCTTATTATCATTAGCTGGATCCATCTCCTCGGTGCTATCTATTACTTTATATCGCCTCAGTATTGCATCTAATTCAGTGTTAAGACGATCATTTATCTTCGCTCCCCATTCAACTGGCTTTTTAATATAGGGCTTGGCTTCGTTGAAATGTCGGGGATGAGCATAAACGAAATGTCGAAATATTTCCGATTTGAAAGACTTTTTTACCATACAGAAAGTGCATTTAAAGAACAGCCGGAACGGCAGATGAGTAAAACGATGACGTTGCAATTTCGGTTGTTCATTAGTGTACAACAGCTTGCGGCACTGTAAGCAATAGTGGTTACGTGAGCCGGAGATGCGATGCATTCGCAAATCATGAGAGGTAGATGCATGTGTGTCTAAATGCTTAAGCCACTGTTCGTATCTATCGATGTTCTTGCCACATTGTGGACAAATAAAACGCAAATAGAATTCCCGATTTAAACGTGGATCGCGAAGCAACTTTTGTTCAGCCGTTTGGATTATGTTGGTGGTTGTCTCACTTTCTATTTGCCGCATTTTCTCTACCATCATTATTTGACGGCTATGGAAGCGGTAGAGATGTTCACAAAGAGCTCGTTTACGTGTGAATCCTCCTTTGCAATGTCGACAACGATACGTACGGTTAAATGGCAAGTGCAGAAAACGATGGTATTGGAGCAGTGCAATGGCTTGATTGGCATTGGCAACCCATTTATGACAAACTTGACATTCATGGAAGCTCTCACTAATTTCTTTAAAATCGAAATCTGCTGGTGTTTTATGTATATAATCATGCTCCTCATTTAAATGGCGACGCCAGTCCTGCTGTGATTCGAATTCCACTCCACATTCTGGACACACAAACGTCATATGCGACTCCAATCGAGGATTGGCGAAATCATTGTGCCCACTGCTGCCACTACTACCATATGGACTCGACATTATTGAGACATGTGTAGTTGACGAAAAAGTTTGAAAATTTTTAATGTGGATTCCTTTTTAATTATTGAAGAATTTTTTTTCTATCACAAATTTCGCACTATGCAAGTATTTCACACAGAATTTACGCAAAAAAAGGAATCTTATATATGTACGGTGTTGCCATATGAATCCAACTTAGTATTATTTTAAGCGGCATTCACGATGTTCGCTACAACAACAACAACATGTCTGCAAAATGGCTTACTAGAGTCAGCGATTATAGCCAAATTCTGTGGAATGTAAATTTTAGACAATAAGTTTGTTCCACGCGCTTTCCGTGCTGTTTCGGTAATTAGAGCGTAAAAACAAGTTACTCTCTCACAAGTGTCAAAAATGTGTCAACCCGTGCCAAAAGTGCCAAGAGTGAGGAACGCAAAAGCCACTTTTCGTGCCCGGAATTAACTAATCAGTTCTAAACATTGATTTTCTGCATGATGCAATAATAGGTTCCTTCCCGTACGAAACGCGGTATCCCGCGTGTGCCCAAAATAGCCCAGAAATCATTCCCGTACTCAACAAAATGGGTAATAGAGAGCGAAAATTGGAACGTATTGGATCATAAGTGCCTTCTTCTTCCTGCGCAAAACAGCCCATACTTTTTCTACGGGTAAAAATGGATAAATCGTCAAAGTGCATATCAGCTGTTTTGTGTTTACATGTGGTCTGCATTTACTTGGTACTTTTAAGGAATAATGAATGTATTTTCAATCTTTATATTCTTAGGGCGTGTGTGAATCGGTAACAAAGTTTGCGGCAAGTAAATTTTTGACAACTATGAGGTGAATAAAATTTCAGTAGCTCATGAGGCTAGTGAAATTTTTGGCAAATGCATAGAAAATTTTGACAATTTCAAAGATTGTTGCTGTGTGTAATTTTTCGTAAAACAAAAGCTTGAATTGATGAAATGCTATCAGTGATGGTAGATGTTTTCTTAAATTATTAGTTTCACTTCAATTTGTAATACTTCATTCCGACTAAATCTGCGGTTATCAAAAATTTACTGCTGTCAAAAAATATTTCATTTCACACAGCAGTTTGGCAAAACTGTCTCACCGTAGTAAAAATATTATTCAACAGCTTTCACCATAGAACTTTGTTACCGATTCACACACGCCCTTAAAATCAAATTTGTGAAAAAAATTCAATTTCCAAGTGTTTGCATTTAAGTGACAAAAACAAAAACGATGCGAATAAGCTGTTTCTCAAAATTTGGGGAACGAAATGTGGTTTTTTGCGTTCCTGTACTTCTGGATTATGTTCAATTTTGGAGAGCAAACTGTTCGCTTATTCTCTAATTACCGGATCCGGTCCGGATTGTTAGGGATAGAACCTAATACAAGGTGTTATCGGTTGGCAACTTCTCGTTCTAATTCAGCTATATTGACTGCGTTAGGTGAAACAGTGTTACTTCTTTAACGATTCTTTGCCTAATAATATAGTTGAACTTTTTTTTTATATTTTATCAGTATACACATTTTGTTTTCTCAAAAAGGAATTTTATCTTATTTCATTTCATTTCATTGCGGATATATTATAAAAAACCAAATTTTGTTTAGAAGAAAATATGAAATTTTATATTTTTCCCCCAAATGGGGATTAAATTCTTCCCGTTTTTCTTCTTATACTACTGAGCTAAGGCAGTGTCAAATCGAGCTGTCACAACTGATACCACCTTGTATTATTGCATCATGCAAATGAGGTACTTTCCAACGCGATGTGCTTTCAAAATCTCTCAAAGTCTCTTTTTGAAACTAGTAGGTTTTGAAAGTCAGTAGTTTGAAAGACTTTACGAAATTACTTTGTATTTATAATAATCTTCCCAACTATATAAACGCATTAAGCTGTAATGTGTTATATCATTATTACATTTCACATGACATTTGTTACTGTCAAGTGTTATGCACTTGTCTTCGTCGTTTTCCTCGTTTGGTGGTGTGTATTGCTTAAATTTTCCGCAGAAGAAAATCTGGTGAAATTTTCACATAAGCCGAACAGTGTAAAAACTTTATGCGTAACGTTATTTTCTGCCTCATAACGCACAAAAACGCATTTTTGATTTCAAATAAATTTATTGGCTTTGATGGCGATAATTGAAAAATTGGGTGCAACTAGCAACTGCGACGAATGTGTGTGAGTGGTGAAAATAATTGGGCAGTGTGTGCGAAAAAGAAAATCAGTGCTGAGCTTTGCCTGCAAATCACCCACCCGCCACCCAAATATTAAGAAAAAATCGAATGAGAGGCTGACGACGACAAAACTGTTGTTTTTGCCAATTCTTGCCTATGACAAAAATATAAACTCGTCAGCACAATTGTGTTAAAAAAGGAGTCGATTTTACATAGCTCCAGAACACCGATCTAGCAAACAAAAACGGCAGCAATATACGGCCAAAGAGGGTGATCTATAGCTCAGGAAGTGCACGCGTGCTGAAATAGCTTTTCCAATAGATCTTCGAAAACAAAAAGCATATTGCAACAACATATGAGACGCAATTACAAGAGCAATCTGGTACTGGACAGGCAACCATATTTGTAGTACGTATAAAGTTAGGAAAAACGGGAAAACCAACGATTTAGTGGCGTTGTCAGCGACGTACCAATCGACCACAACAAACAGGCGGCAGTAATAAGCTTTTAATTGTTTAGCAACGCATTGCATACAGTGGGCGGATATTTGTAGGGTATTTAATAACACAAACGTTGGCGTGAACACGTCATGTCCGACATCATGAATATTGATAGCATTATTTCAAGATTATTAGAAGGTAAGTATTATGTACGAAGTTAAGAGCATAGGTACTATTTAGCCAGTAAAATAATGTCTGCAAATTTATAATTTTATATTTATTTAAACTTGTGCAGTGCGTGGTGCCCGACCTGGTAAGAATGTACAACTATCGGAGAGTGAAATTCGGGGGTTATGCCTGAAGTCACGCGAAATATTCCTATCTCAACCGATCCTCTTAGAACTGGAAGCACCGTTGAAAATATGCGGTAAGTGTTCTTTGAATATCACATGCCATACATATATATACTATTTATACACATATGTATGTATTTAAAAGCATATGCGGGTTTTGTAGATTATTCTTCAATGATTCTCGAAACCAGAAGTTTAGAAAATGCAATTTATTTTACCTCGCAACTAGTAATTACGAAAAAAGCAGATAACTTTGACAACACAGAAGTCGTTTTTAATGAGTTGCAATTAAGTCAAGCGCATACAAATAACCCAAATAATCAAAGGTCTTTGAAATTGCCACTGACTCATGAACGCATTGCAAATAAATTAGACTAAATACGGTATCAAGAATAAAAATCTCAAGTCGATTACAAATATTAAGGCGCCTATAAAGTTTCCACGTTATAAAATATCATTATAGATGTATACACTATACATATTACCCAATAAACATTGCGGTGAACGTTCGAATATGCATATCGAACTGAGAACGATCTCATAACCAACCTTAGTTTCCCCACGTTCGTTTTCCCTAGGGAAAATATATTAGATAACGAAGGTTCCGTTTTGCTGGAGAATGGTTTAGTTCTCGAATCGAATACTAACCTATGCTATATTCGTTATCGAAGTTGAGACTCGATAAAAAAAGATTCGTTTAATAACCAAGCCCAATGTTTATTGGGTAGTAGATATAAACTGCATGTAAACAAATAAAAAATACACATGCATACACATGTATGTTATTTCTTATCAATATACATATTATTTCTGAAATTAGACCTTAACTAGCTATACATTGCCAAGAAGAGTTTCTTTTAAATAATATCTAGTTAATGCCTGAAACAGTCAAAGTATCCTTTTAAAGGCTCCAACATGGTCACCTTTATGATTTGAGTCAATACAAAGTATCCAAAGATTATGCTGTAATACCAGCAGGTGCAGAAAATCGGCTTGGTTTACAATTGGATTTCAGCCCCGTTTAAAAGTGTTTGGAGTATTTTATTGCCGTTATAACAATATCAACGTCTTCAGCTTCGTTGCTTGCACAATATTTAGAGGTTTGAAATCCAAACCGTATATATGTACATACATACGTATATGTACGTAAAATACTATACTTAACCACTTATTATTTTCCAAAATTATTAAATTAAAGTACATCTAAGCCGTTTATTTTGAAAGTGGCACAAGTCACTTCACATCTCTTATGCTTAAATGACCAGTTACTTGTATCTAGGCGCTTCGGTTACTCATGCAACTTCATCAACCAAAGGTTGAAGGTTTTGTCGTTGGTCTATGAGAGGTATATGAGAGGTACGAAGTGACTTATACCACTTTCAAACGAAACGAATCATTTATTATTAGCTCGTTTTTTAGAGTGCACTAAAAGATGGTCGGCAAAAAATTTTAGAGGCATACAAATTGTCTTACAAAACTTGCGAAATTAATTCGGAGTGCGACAGCAAAGATGATTTAGAACTTTATCGAATCTGAAGCTTCTTTTGATTGAAGTTTTAAGTTAAAAATAAAGTAAGCTACGACAAGTTACATTTTACTATGTTAAATGAATAACATACAAATGTTATATTTTTCATTCGTTTGTGGACGTACCTCTTTGTTATTTTTAATTAATTTATGGTGTGTGTCGCATATAAATAAATTTTGTGATTTTTCCCAAGCCACCCGATGACTAAAATACTGTTTGCTTGCTTTACTCTGATTGCTTGAATATGTACTTAAAGACTTGTATCAATGTACTCTCAAAAACATCAAACTCATAAATCGTGTCTAATAAAATATTTGGTTATACTCCTTTTTCTACAGGCGACATACACGGCCAATACTACGATCTGCTGCGCCTCTTTGAATATGGCGGCTTTCCACCAGAATCAAATTATCTATTTTTGGGCGATTATGTGGATCGTGGCAAGCAATCCTTAGAGACTATTTGCCTGTTGCTGGCTTACAAAATAAAATATTCGGAAAACTTTTTCTTACTGCGCGGCAACCACGAATGCGCCAGTATAAATAGAATTTATGGGTGAGTAACAAATGTGATTCATTATGCAAATTATTTTAGTAAAATTAATTAATTTTCTTGTGCAGTTTTTACGACGAGTGCAAGCGTCGGTATACTATTAAGCTTTGGAAAACGTTTACAGATTGTTTCAATTGTTTGCCAGTGGCGGCCATTGGTAAGCTTATTGCAGTAAAATAATTTCTAGTTTTATTCGGTATTTTATTCAAAATTTAAAGGAGTTTCAATAAAAAAAAATCTCGTGATTTAAAAAAAAATATTTTTTTTCTGCCGTAATTTCATCTTGCAGTTGATGAAAAGATTTTCTGTTGTCATGGCGGTCTCAGTCCTGATTTATCGTCTATGGAGCAAATAAGACGCATTATGCGTCCCACAGACGTGCCGGATCAGGGATTGCTATGTGATCTATTGTGGTCGGATCCAGATAAAGATACAATGGGTTGGGGTGAAAACGATCGCGGTGTGAGCTTCACATTTGGCGCTGAGGTGAGTTGCACAAATCGATTAAACAAGAAAATACTCGCCTAATAAATTTTTTTTTGCATTTTTAAGGTTGTTGGGAAATTTTTACAAAAACATGATTTTGATTTGATTTGTCGCGCGCACCAAGTTGTCGAGGATGGTTATGAGTTCTTTGCCAAGCGACAATTGGTCACATTATTCTCGGCACCAAACTACTGTGGTGAATTCGACAATGCAGGTATGTTATAATGTGGCAAAAGTGTTAAATTGAGAGAACAATTTAAATTAATAATGTTAACTTAAATGCAAAACATATAAATATGTATGTATACTACGCCAGTTCCACTATACATAATGTCAAATTTCTGTTAAGATTGAGCATTGAAGCTTATATTTTTTTATGTTCGATTACCAGAGACCATGTTTAAAGCTCTCTAATTGCTAAAAAGGATCAAAATGAAAAATTAGTTGAGAGGTTCAAATGCGTACAAAAAATGCTTGTGAAATTTTTTTAAGCGCTTCCAAAGATGTGAATTATAATTAATAAAGAGATATTCCCTTAAACTGAAACGCTTTAATTATCACGATATTGTATGTGAAATTCCGGACCACACCTACCTTTTTACGAATATTTTGTAGATAAAAATCAATTAAATAATAGGAATAAATTAAATAATAGAAAAAAATTATATTATATGCTTTTAATAAAATTTCACTTTTTTTCTATATTTCTAATTCCAATTCGCCCCCTTTTGCAGGTGCAATGATGTCTGTGGACGATACACTAATGTGTTCCTTCCAAATATTGAAACCGGCCGATAAACGTCGGTTTGTCTATCCGAATTTCGGCAGCTCGGGGCGTCCGTTGACTCCGCCACGCGGCGCCAACAATAAAAACAAAAAGAAATAAACACAGCTACATACAAAATAGCAACAAATTAAAGAAAAGATGAAAATGTGCAAAATTAGCTAATACAAGTTGAAGCATACAAATACAAAAACAACTAAAAAAGGTAAAATCAATCGAATAGCTGGAAAAATGTGAAGAAGAGAAAAAAAAAATAAAGTAAAAAAACGATGTAAAATACAAATCACAAAACACTGTTATGGCAAAGAATTTCCAACAACAATGGAAAATAAAGGGGAAATGTTGTAAAGTAGCGACGGCCACATAAAATTACACACACACACACACAGTGCATAAACATACAAACAAGTGCAGCAAAAGGCACCAATACATATATACACAAAGCATCATCACATACACACATGTATACTAAAATATTTGTTGAAAAGTAATAGGTATATTTTTGCACTTAAAAGTTATGCACTTTATTTTTTAAGTATGTACAAATGTAGTTTTTCTACAATTTTGCGGCGTCGTAGATTTTTATATACTGCAATTTTGATTTGTTTGATAGTTTTACTATACACATAATTACACCATTGTTTTACGTTAGAAATATTTTTATTAGCAAGCATATTTTCAAACCCATTTGAGATATAAATTAATTGCTGCTAATATTGTTCGTCAAGTTACCAACTCTTTCATAGGCTATGCTGGAAGTTTGCAAATGGGGTTTAAGATGAGGATTGCAAGCAAAATTAGCTTTCGAATGTGTTGTGTGTTTCAAAGGCATATGCAGTTTACTAATTGAATTGCAGCACTAGACCTTTTGCGACTTGTACACTTGAGAAATTCCCGATGGCGGTTTGAGTGTAAGAGGGTTGTATATAAGTTCTGGATTTCTCGATTTTTACTTTTTTGGGTAAAAGCAAAATGTATAGTTTTATGTTCACAAGCTTATTAAATGCATAGAAATTAAGTGCAAAAAAATTAAAAATATCTATACGAAAAATTATGTTTACTATTTCTTTTTGTTCAGCTGTTTGAGGCATTTTCAAAATTTTGAGAAAAAAATTGTAATTTTAGCGTGTGGGTTCAGTTCTTTTAATGCGTTTTTTTTAACAAAGAAATATATGTATAAATCCTACAACTGATATGAAACGGCGAATTTGTACATACAAACTAGTTAAGACGAATTGGCTTTTTGAGAAAGTACATAACATAACTGTTTTCCTGTCAGGATTTAGTTGGAAAGTAATAAATACTAATTAGGTACAGCACACCGGTATCATTGCGTTATTTTACGCACTTCGAAAATTGTGCAACTATATATGTATGTATACTCGAATAAAATGTTAGTTCTCTATCTAACCTCAAATTGAAATTTTACCCAAATTGGAATACTTTAAAGAACTACTGTTGATAGACTGGCGGTCATGTATTACTTACCACCGCTATTTTTTAAATGAGGTAGAATTTTGTGAATTAAAAAAAAAACACAAGTTTATCCAATTTCCTTAAAATTTCGAACTAGCGCAAGATTCTGGTTGATTTTTGACCATTTTTTCTTACGTACAATGTTACGCATTTTTCGACATATAAAAAGCATGCACCTTGTGAAAAAAACTGCGCAAGACCGCCAGTTAAAAATAAAAGAAAATAAACCAGAATTTCGAGCCGCTTCAAACTTGCAATTTATTATTGTTCTAATTAAAAAAAAATTTAAACTTGTATTAATAATTGTACATAGTGGTTGCTGTAGTGTGAACTATGTACATTAGGGCGGGTTGATTTGTATGGATGAAAAAAAATTAAAAATCGTATAGCAAAAACGTAATCTAAATTAAATTCTAAGAAAATTCTCTGAAGAAACCATGGGTCTAAAATCAAACCCTAATCCGCGCCTCTCGACTTGAAAATTTTTTACTTGGGTGAATATATTTTTTAATGAAAGAAAATGTTGAGTGTAGAAAAAATATACAGTGCAAAAGAACTACCTTACTAAACAATTTTATTCAGAAAATAGGATTTCTTTTTGGAAAAACCTATTTTTTCTAACATTAATTTTTTTTGGCAAAGGCGGCCATATAAATTTTCAAGTCGAGAGACGCGGATTAGGATTTTATTTTAGATACATGGTTTCTTCGGAGAAAATTCTTAGAATTTTATGTAGTTTACGTTTTTGCTATACGATTAAACAAAAAAAAATTAACCCGCCCTAATGTACATACATATAATATTTTTGTTTTTTTAATTTAATGTACGAAATTATACTTCATTAAAAAATAGTGGTGGTAAAATATGCGTAACTACACTTTCTAATATACAGTATCGGTCATATCTATAGCACGCCAATTCAAAGTGATATTGTGTGCCACTTATGTTAATTTATTTATTTTTAAGAATTTTCAATTAAAATATAGTTCTTTCTCTAACAAAACCCATATAAACCCAAGTTGAACAATTTGTAGAAAACTACAAAAAAGTGCAATAAATTTTCATCTAAATTTCAAACTTTTTTCTCGGAAGTGTTAGAATTTTTCTGAACACACAGTTTTATAGCCCAATCAATTTTAGTCTGATAATGTGCAAGTTTCAAGTGGCTAAAAGCTACCGTTGATTTTTTAGAATTTTTTTGCCAAAGGTGTTGCGGTTTTCTTCCATATACAAATAAATTGAGTTTGTTCATTATATGGAAGCGAATGCGACAAAAAAAATTCTAAAAAATTAACGGTAATTCGTAGCCACTTGAAATTTGCACATTATCAGACTAAAATTGCAGGGGCTAAAAAACTGTGTACTCGAAAAAATTCTAACACTTCCGAGAAAAAAGTTTGAAACTTAGGTGAAAATTTGTTGCACTTTTTTGAAGTTTTCTACAAATTGTTAAACTTGGGTTTATATGGGGTTTGTTAGAGAAAAAACTGTATTTTAATTGAAAATTCTTAAAAATAAATAAATAAACATAAGTGGCACACAATATCACTTTGAAATGGTGTGCTATAGATATGACCGATACTGTATGTATGTATGTGTAGTTAGAGAATTTCCTTCAACGAAAAGCAAAAGCGCGTAACTATTTGTTCACGAAAATTTGTATAGACTTTTGATTTTTTTATCCAACTTCACTACCAAAAATTTTCCATGTAAAAACTTTCCGCATAAAGTTTTTGTTTTATTTTGTTTAGATATATTTTATTTAAAATAAGTTGCATGCCCACACTGATTTTTGTTCTTGTTATTGTAAAATACACATTCATAATGCACAGCGCAAACACATAGAAAACAACAAAAACACACATTAAAAAAAAAACAAAAAAAAACACATGCATAGTTTTCTGAATTTAGTTATAAGCATAAATGATTTAAATACAAAGTAATAGTATACACCAAAAAGAAAAAAAGGAAATAGAAAACTGAAAAAATTTTGTTTAATACGCAATAACAAAAAGCGTGAAAGAATATGTTTACATAATACTACTACTTAGTTGAAGCATCCAAACTTCAGAAAAACACAAACCAAGAAACTAAAGAAAAAGAAAAAACACGAAGCTTCTAGCGCGCACTAAACTTGATAAAAATAAAAATAAAAATTTGTAAAAAATACATTACTAAATATGTATGTATAGTAAAAAAAATAAGTACATGTTGTAATAAAAATAAAAGGCAATAACTTAAGCGTAAACGTTTTAAAGAGTTAAGCGTTGCAGCGCAGCGAAAAAATTTTGGATTTGTACAACCAACCAAACAAAAGAAAAATAATAAATAAAGCTACATACATGAATTGCAGTGCATGTTCATTTGTTAACAGTTAGTTTCTTTATACATATACATTGGCGGTCAAAAGTGGATGAATGGTGTTTCGTTTTTAATATTTGCAATGTTTCTTAAGCTAAAATTTTTTTGATACATTTTTATAAAAATATATATGAAAAAAGCAACCAAAAATGTTAAAATGTTAAAAATCAATGCGATTTTTTAGCCGCTCAAAACTTGCCGTTATTTTACTAGAATTTTATAATTTTTCTAAATCCTGTATAATGTTTGAAAGTGTGATTTATATGGTTTTTGTTAAAGCATGAACTATAATTTTATAAAACGATATCAAAAAAATTTTAGCTTGAAAAACATTGCAAATATGAAAAACGAAACACCATTTTTGACCGCCACTGTATGTACATATGTATGTATGTCTGTGTATTAGGGTATTAAGGTGCATCACTCTAAAATCATCGGTACTCTTTCCATCGTAAATATAAAATGTATTATATTTTAAGACTTTCGCCAAAATATTGCGGAAAAATATTAAGATTTACATGAGTTGAATCTTTGAAAATACCACCAAAAATCAAGTTTTTTTTTATAGGTAGATAAAGTTAGTTTTTGAAAATATTTTTTCCAAAAAATCATCTCAGTTTAATGTTGAAAATTTTTTCAACGGAATCGAAAGAATGATATTTTTGGAGGTATGTATTTTCGAGTCGGTCTAGCTCACGAAAATTTAAATGTTTTCCGAGTTTATAATATAGTTCCGGCGGAAAACAGCAATTTTTTGGTGATGCACCCTAATGTACATATAAAAATGTATATAAATTTATATACATACATACTAAAGGTAATTTATGCGCAGTATACTAAAAAGCTAAAAAGGCAAAACTAATACCAACAGCCTTATTGCCACGCGATAACAAATGCCGCCGAAATTACTACTGTCATAAGATTTCCGCCTGAAAGTATGCCATGAAAACCAGCTAGTAAGTGCACAAGGAAAAAAAAACAAAAGAAGAAACAAATTTAGTAATATTCTTGTTAATACATACAATCAGGTTTTTGCGACATATTTTTTGGCACTAACGATTTTGGCGAGTTATGTCATTACATGGGAATTCTGAATTTAAATGCGATATTGGCCCACTTTGAAATATTTCTTAAGACCCTACATCGGATCAATTTATGTATTATATTTGGTTCATATTGAAATTTCTTGCAAATAATACTCCACACCATTTTCTGAGAAATGCTGCTACAGTGTGTCATTTCCGAGTCTAGACGAACATCTCAAGCCATGATTTAGTGATGGTCAATATCGAAACGTTATTTTGCTTTCTTCCTTTTCATTAATTAATTAATTTTTTTAACAAAACGAAATTAAAAAGCTGCGAAGGGAAAATGTAATTTTCAATGCATTCATACAATGTTAAATTAGCAAAAAAGCGAGAGCTTACAGCAGTGAGAAAAATATCGTAACTAGCAGAGTTTAAAGTAAAAATTTAAGCATCCTACTATTAAAAACTAAAAGTAACCCCATTTTGGATGCTCCCCGGCAATTGCAGACAAAATCAGCCTTATCGCCAATTCCATGTGAATAAATAAAACAAATTTGAAAAAAAAAGAATTGTTT